GAGCCACCACACCTGGCTAATTTTTTTAAAACATTTTTCATAGAGTCAGGGTCTTGTCATGTTTCCCAGGCTGGGATGAGGCAGCAAGTTTGTTTGTTTTTTTTTTTTTTTTTAATTATTTTAAATAAAGATGGTGTCTCACTATGTTGACCAGGCTGGTCTCAAACTCCTGGCCTGAAGTGATCCTCCCATCTTGGCCTCCTAAAGTGCTAGGATTACAGGCGTGAGCCACTGTGCCAGCTGAGCCAGCAGTTTTAAAAGAGCTGTGTCTGCACTGAACAGCAGAGGTGGGTCTCCAAGGCATATTACTGAGTGAAAAGGGGGTCAGCAGGATACATTTGGTAGAATCCTGATTGTGTAACATTCCCCCTTTACACACATAAAATGAAACACTGTGGAAACGCTTAGACAGCAAGACAGGCTGGAAGGATGTAAGCCAAACTGAGTTGCTACCTCTGGGAAAAGAGTTTGGGAGTGACGCTTTTACCTGTAATCCTTTCATTTCTAAAAGTGAAAATAGATGGATCTGTTACTTTTGTCCCAACCATCTTCCTTCTTTTTAAAAAATGTGTTTTATTTTTTATTTAAACGGAGTCTCACTGTGTTTCCCAGGCTGGAGTACAGTGGCACCATCTTGGCTCACTGCAACCTCCACCTCACAGGTTCAAGCGATTCTCCTGCCTCAGCTTCTCAAGTAGCTGGGATTACAGGTACCCGCCACCACGCCTGGCTAATTTTTGTATTTTTAGTAGAGACTGCTTTTCACTATGTTGGCCAGGCTGGTCTCTAACCCCTGACCTAAAGTGATCTGCCCACCTTGGCCTCCCAAAGTGCTGGGATTACAGGCATAAACCACCGCACCTGGCCCATCTATCTTCTTTAGGGACATTGCACCCCTATGTGGAGAAAATTTCATCACAACCATTCACCTCCTCGGACTAACTAAAATAATTCTACAGTAGGTCAGGTCAGAAATAAACAGCATTCTGCAGGAAACAGTGGCTCATGCTCATGTAATCTCAGCCCTTTGGGAACCTGAGGTGAGAGGACTGCTTGAGGGCAGGAGTTTGAAAACAGCCTGGGCAACATAGTGAGACCCTGTCTCTATTTTTTAAATTAATAAAAGAAAATAATAATAATTAAAAGAAAGAAAGAAACAGGCTGAGCATGGTGGCTCACACCTGTAATCCTAGCACTTTGGGAGGTCGAGGTGGACAGATCGCTTAACCTCAAGAGTTCAAGACCAGCCTGGGCAACATGGTGAAACCCCATCTTTAATAAAAGTACAAAAAAAAGGCCGGGCGTGGTGGCTCTTGCCTGTAATCCCAGCATTTTGGGAGACCAAGATCACCTGAGGTCGGGAGTTCAAGACCAGCCTAGCCAACATGGAGAAATCCCGTCTCTACTAAAAATACAAAATTATCCGGGTGTGGTGGCACATGCCTGTAATCCCAGCTACTTAGGAGGCTGAGGCAGGAGAATCACTTGAACCCAGGAGGCGGAGGTTGCAGTAGGCTGAGATCACGCCATTGCACTCCAGCCTGGGCAACAGGAGCGAAACTCCATCTCAAAAAAAAAAAAAAGAGGAGTACAAAAAAAAAAAATTAGCTGGTTATGGTGGCTCTCACTTGTAGCCCCAGTTACTTGACGGGGCTGAGGTGGGAGGATTGCTTGAGCTCAGGAAGCAGAGTACAGTGGTGCAATCTCAGCTCACTGCAACCTCTGCCTCCCGGGTTCAAGCAACTCTCCCTCCTCAGCCTCCTGAGTAGCTGGGATTACAGGCACAGTGAGATCACATCACCATACTCCAGCCTGCCAGCCTGGGTGACAGAGTGAGAGCCTGTCCCAAAAAAAAAAAAAAAGAAAAAGAAAAAGAACACACCCCCCACCCCCACCAAAAAGAAAGACAAAGAGAGAAAAGAAAGAAGGAAGGGAGGAAGGAAGGAAGGAGAGAAAGAGACAAAAAAGAAAAGAAAATGAAAAGAAAAAAAATGAAAGGAAGGAAATAAGGAAGAAAGAGCAATCCTTAGGGGTAAACCCAGAAATTCTGCAAACATTCTAGTTTGAATCACCTCCGGTTAGATGTCCAGACCCATGAGCCAACAGTGACTTATTCCAGAGTGAAATTCCTTTAGGGCAGCAGAGCCGTCTGAGTTAGTTTGTAGTGGGCTGAAGTCTCCTGGAAATGAGGACGGCAGATACATATTGGAAAGCAAAGTCTTGGTTTCAGGAAGCAATATCACCTACTCTAACTAATAAAACACAAACACCACTTTGCGGCATTTTCAAGGAATGAATATGAACAAATTCAGACATTATGCAAAGGGCAGTTGAGAAAGCCATTTCATTTCAGCCACGTCCGACCCCCTCACTGACTAAAAGTATGGCCACATGCATCTCACCGACAGGACGGGCAAATAAATGGCCCTTGTGTTCGTGACAAGGAGCTGTGGACAGAATTCTGCAGTGTGCTGTTTTCTGTCCATCACTTGTTAAATGCCTGCCAGCTTTGGAAAAACAGCTGGGGGAGTTACTAGAGAAGACAAATGACATTCCCCACAGCCCCCCATCCCCCTCAACCACCACTAATCAGGGCACCCAGCCCTGACCCCATCTTCCAGGGCAGAAGGAAGCTCCAGGCTTGGAGCCTGGCAGCCTCAGGTCTGGGTTTCCA